GCGCAAACGAACTAGGTGACCAGGCACCCCCAATCTCCCGTCTGTCACGCATATGCCGCTTCATCCGCTAAAAGAAAACGCCTTTTATTATTGTTGCTTATTAGTCGTTCAAATCTGCTCCATTTGAGTTATGTGTTTGCGCAAATTCGCTAGGTCATGTACGCTGCCGTTTGAGAAAGAAACTGGGCGCGGAAATTAAAAAATAAACAAAAAACAATTTTCAGAAAATAGCTGGCTTTGAATAAAGCGCCGCTGGTAAGTTTTCATTTAGTTAAAAAAAGGAAAGAACTTTCAAGCAATGGGAACGGCGAATCATAAGGGATGTTGGCGGTCCCACTGAATTGTGGGGTATATTTTTGGAGTTGCCATCTACGTGGGGATCCTACACTCTGTCGTTGCCGATTTTCCTTTAATGTTCAATAAGTGTCAATTGTAAGACGATAAATCTGATTGGATCTGGGCCTGATATTGGGCCCATGTCAACGTAATCCACAAGCGTGCTGGTGCCTGAACGCGCGCAGAAGAAGACCTCAGTAACTGAAATGCCATATTAGTCAGCGTCACCATAAGTGCTATATTAAGAAGGGTTCATGGGAATTTCGCCCTCATCAGGAGTAGCGGGTTATGGCTTCAGCTAGCAGTTTTTTAAAGCTAAAACGCCCAGTGCGTCGTGAGCTAGTAAATTCACTTTTGGTGTATTATAACTAGGAATGAACGCCCCGAATCGACTTATCTCCCTCCCTAGGTTATCCGCTTATGTACTCTTGGCATATACGAGTAGCAACGACTGGAAATGAGATCAAGCGAACTGATTTCCGTTAACTAAACCTCTGATTGATGGCCTGTCCGTCACAAACGACGACGTCCACCACTGTCCCTCGACGTGAGCGGAGCCGCAATTTGCCAGTAAAGTTCTTGGCATCGGTAGAGTAAAGGACCTCAATCAGCTGTGGATCATGTTCTTGCGCCGTCTTCCGACAGCACTGACGGTTTACCCAGCCAGTCAGATGAGGCGGAGGTTCGGCTGACATACTAGCCACTCAATGTAACTATTTAATTGGTGGAATTTCATTACAACCTTGGCTTTTTCCGTATTTTTTTCGCTTTCTAGACGCCGTAAGAACACGTTAATCCACTCTCTTCTTCCGCCTTTGTTGTTTAGAGATTTTTCCAAGGTCAGGTGTGGGGCGGCAGACCAGCCAGGCGTGCGTCAAGTTAAAAGTAGTTATTTCCCCAGCTGGCAACCTTCCACGACGCGACTTTTGTTGTTGCGCCGTGAAAATTTCGATGCTGGATCACAGTTGAATCCGCCCCAGCCCCGTTTCACTATTCAGCACTCTAGTTGTGTGCCTGAACCAAGGCATCAATGAATGAGAATGGATGCAGTGGCTGATATGACATAACTCCTCGTTCCAACGCGTGCTACATACGAGTTCGAATATAACACAAAGGGGGCTGACATTATTAACAAGGAACCACTCCAGTCAAATTCTCTTGCCAAAAGAAGATAGAGTTATCTCACCAGCTGGTCGCCTTCGAGTCACTTCTAGCACAAAGACGCTTCTAGGCATGGACGCGTCATATTTATGATAGGCGAAGAGTACACGAAGATGTCCTGAGGAATGGTATCTGAGGTTTGGTCTCGCTCTCTCCCATCCAATGCACCAATGATCCACCCGAACCTGTCAGCCAGCTGATGCTGAGGTTGAGCGCAGTGACAGGTGTGACGTAGAGACCCCGCCTATCACGTGTCGCGCGCTTTTGATAACTGCTCAATTGGTCCCTCAACTGTGAGTAGGTGTCAGTGGGCGCCACTGGCTTGCTTACACTGGTCTGCGCACGATCATCTGCAGGGGTTCACGGTGGAGTCAAAAAGATCCTAAGATATTGAAAAGTGTCCTAGAAGGCATTACAGAGACGGGCCGGCAGGAACAGTTACGAGTGAAACTGCAGACGGTTTAGGCTTATGCATGCCGTCATCGACCGGTCAAACCTGGCTTCCTTCGGTTTGCCTTATTCACCGTTCGGTCGACCTTGCAACCTGCTAATTGGCCTCTTGTCAATGTCGTCTGATACTAGATGCGGACCCTATTTGCTCTTAAACAACAGATATCTGTTAGTTTGCTTCTGATCGACTATCAACTCGGTACTTTCGGACTACGGTTAGTCTCTATTTAAGAAGTCCGTTTGACGACAGACCGGAAATTTTAAAATTCCATCTGATACAATCTGAGAAGGCAAATGAGTTGTCGTTAGCGAAATTTGAAGGAAGCGGCTGATATTTACTAGCCGCGGATTGTACATTTCATTCGCACTCATGAAATACTTAGTCCATTAAGGTTCTAGATATGTCTTATACCTTTGAAGCTGTGCGCAAGTGGCCAAGAAAATGATATTATCACATTTAACTCTAAAAACCAAATTGGGTCAAGAGATATGTGCCTAGGGCCTACCCTTTGATTGTTCAAAACGAATTCTGTCGGACTGATGGTTACACTACAAAACTCACCGAAGACAAGACGCATGCCGAAAGAGGTGAATTTTATCTCTGACGATTGAAGTAACCAATTTCGATACCTGTTTTTAGAGACTTAGGAGGTGTGTATACAGGTCGTCGTCAGACGCAGAGCAAATCTGCCAAAAGAGTTGACATTTTAGTTGCACTTCAAAATAATTTCTTGTTTGGCGTTTGCAATAGTATGCAGTCACCGCGTATGTTACTCTGTTCTGGTTGGATTTCATCTCTTCCATTTCTCCCAGAAATTTTTGTACCGGACATCCAATTAGATATACCAGTTGATGCATGCCCTCGCAAGTGCCTTACTTTAACTCATAGACCTGAGTTTGGAAACCAACTGTTCATTCAACCAGAAACTAAAAAGAGCTCCTGTGAGGTCACTTATCTCTCGCATTCTCGCCGAGACTACAGTACAAAAATTAGTAGCTACGGCCGTTCTGTTAGAAAACAGTAAGTGATGAATGCAATATGCAGACGCCACTGTTGTTGTAGTTAACAGAGACAAAGTGGAAAATCTCCCCAACGCTACCTACTTAACAGTTTCAGGAATAAAATTTGCACTAGAGAAGGAAGTTGACGGAAAACTCCCATTTATAAATGTTCTTGTAAAGCAAAGAGCTGGTGGAACATTACGTACATCGGGTTATCACAACGAAACACATGCGGACGGCATGCTGCATTATGAGAGCAACCACCTTATCTTTCACAAACGGAGTTTTCTTAATAGTCTGATCAGTCGACTAAAAACACTTTGTGCAAATGAAGAAGACTACCGGGTTGAACCAAATTACTTGTGGGAGTTGTTTTCTCGGAATGAGTACCCTAGAGATTTTGCACACAGATTTTAGAGAAAAGAGGCTTAAAGAAAACGAATTAGGTTATTTCAATGGCGTTCCGGAAACCTGGCGAACTGTTTCCTTAAATCGAGAAAGTTTATGAGCACGTTGAAAGACACAGGAGGAAACACCAAATTCAGGTGGCACGAAAAACCGACGACTACGTCACGCATTCGGCTTGTGCACCGCTAGAATAGGGTCCACCATTTGGATATAAAGTGGCTGTCTGCAAGATCCAGTGTGATAAGTTCGATGTCATTTGTCGTGGTTTAACTCGAAAATCCGCCTCTGTATACATTCACGAACATGAATTGGCAGGAAAGAGGCCAAAACCGTTCGTCCTAAGTAGTCATGCATATACTGAAAATCGGATATAACTTCGTTCGTAACAGGACTCGAATGTTCAATGTCCGTACTTTCAAGAAAGGCTTCGAGTTCCTCGAGTCCAAGCATTCAGAAGAATCTTGCATCAGCTGGCTTATCGAGTGAGATGGCGCGTATAAATGTCTCAGGACAAGCTGGAAGGGGCGAGAGATAATCAGAACGGAATAACACATGCGGCGGCCACTTCCTGGGCAAACAAGCATGGATTTTTTAAATGCGCTTAAAGTGCCAATTGATTTTGACACATTTTCTCTGCGTCCGTCGACTAGCTGGGGAACCGGTGTTATAAAATGACACCATGAAGAGTTCGGCCAAAGAACATACGCATATATATGTGCACAAGGACAAAGACAATGGAGACTGTGGTGGCCACTTCTAAGTTGCCAGCCGTCGTCAGCCAGCTTTACTCAAACCCAGGTTTGAGGACACTGAACTCGTGCTGCCGTTGACAGTCCACTGACACTTCAAAAGCTGCCGAACGTTCATGCAAACTTAGTCCGGCCCTCCAGAATGTCTTAACCGCTCCTCCTCTCTTGCTGCGTTAACTGTTATTTTTTCACGTGGTGGTGTATGGGTGTCCAGTCGTGGGTCCGCGTTAAGGTCATAGTAGCTCGCTCACTTGCTTGCAGGTGTTGACTACGTCTAGAGTCCACTAACTGGCACCCAACTCCCAAGTTTTTCCCCCCGAAGCTAGACTGTCTAGCAGTCACACATGCGTCAACGCCTCGACCGGTGGGCTAAACCAGTTGAGAGTATACGGGTATGTATCCCACACGATAATTCTGCCTTCTCCCACCGCCGCTGGCCGTACGGATCACCCTATCATCACCTCCAAGATAAGGCTGCGTTTGAGCTCCGAAGGAGGCCACAAAATAAGTGAGCTCCCGGTTAAGCTGAATACCGCTTGGTTGTCTTTGCCTGCTCAAGCTTACATTTCAGCATTCGGCAACTAATTGACTAGTGGCTGGAAGACCTGACCCATTTTACTCCAGGGCATCTTTTCCCCGCCCTTCACTTCCTCTTCTATACTCTGCTGTCTTACGCCATAGCCGAAAGTCTAACGGTGAGGGCGACATGCAATCACTTAGGCCATTGGTCGTCCTCCCACTAAAGCCCGTGACCCTTGGTGGAGAGTAGAATCCGTCTGGTGTGACAAGGCAGCCCTATTTAGCGAGAGCCCTACTCACCCCCGCGAGGGGGGGAGGGTCTAGAAGAGGTGCTTTAGACAAATGCTAAGGAACCACGCCATCTGCAGGCTGACCATGGCCGCAGAAGCAAAACTCACGGTCGGAACAACCAAACAAGAAGCAACACTCTCTCTTCCCCCTCCCTCTTCCCGCCGCCCCACTGGCCAGACTGGTAGGGTGAGTCCGCTCACTCTGGCAGCCTGGAATGTTCGTTCCCTTTTAGACAATCCCAGGGGCAGCCGGCCGAAACGAACGCCGCCACTCGCTCAAGAACCGGCGCACTACAAGGTGGATATCGCTGCACTCAGCGAGACCCGCTTTTCCTAACAAGGCCAATTGGACGAGGTGGAAGCCGACTGCGTCTTCTTCTGAAGCGGCCGTCCCAAAACAGGCGTGACGCGGGCGTCGCCTTTGCCATCCGAAATGACATCGTGGGATTACTGTCCTCTCTGCCGCAGGGCATCAACGATCGCCTGATGAGCCTCCACCTGCCTCTCCGGGGAGGCAAATTAGTCACCATCATCAGCGTTCACGCTCCTCTGATAGTCCGCACTGCCAGGCACGGAACAGGCTTTACGAGGGCCTGCACATCCTTCCGGCGACTGTACGGAAGGAGACTAAGTTTATTGTCCTTAGTGACTTCAACGTCCATGTCGGCACAGGCAATGGTGCCTGGAGAGAAGTGCTGGATCTCCCCGGAATCGCCGACTGCAACGACAATGGCCTCCTTCTCCTACAAAACTGCGCTGAACGCCGCCGCGTCCTTCTGACCAGCACCTTCCTCCTTCCGACGCGGAAGAATGTGACCTGAATGCACCCCTGATCGTGGCGCTGGCAGCTGCTGGACTATGATCTCGTCCGGAGACGAGATCTGCAGGACGTGATGGTGACCAATGTCATCTGCGACGCTGGTGGCTGGGCGGACTACCGTCACTTCATCTCCTAGATGCGGCTCCGTCTGCAACCCCTCAGGAGGCCACAAGATAAGCGACCACCAGGGAAGCTGAATACTGCTTTGTTGTCTATTCCTGCTCACCGTTCGCATTTCAGCAACCAACTGACTTAGGGGATCGAAGAACTGCCAACAGCAGATGAAAACGCCTCCGTGGAGATCCGACGGTACTAGGTACCAGAAGCCTTCAATCGGCCTCCCTGTCTGTCCTCGACCGTGCATGTCGCCAGCAACAGGACTGGTTCGACGTCAACGACGCAGCCACCAGTAACCTGCTTGCCGAGAATAGGCTGCACAAAGTCTATCTTGACCCTCCAACAGACGCGAACAAAGCTGCCTACTCTCTTTGGTGTCGCTTTGCGCAGCAGCGGTTACGAGCAAAGTAGGACGTTTGGATGGCTCTCAGTGCTGAGGAGCTCCAGAGATATGCCGACCGCAACGAATCAAAGAACTTCTTCAATGGGATCAAATCGACCTACGACCCCAAAACGAAAGGAACGCGTCGCTTTTAAGCTCCGATGGATCACCGCCTACCCAACGACTAGCCAATCATGTTACTCATGAAAAGCATTTTGGAAAGGAAAAAACTAGAGAATTTACTGCAAAGTGTGTTTTAGTTGATTGTGTGTTTCTATTCGACAGGTTGCATTTGTTGAAGTAATCGTTGTCAGCGTAAAGGCTACGAGAGCACCTGTTAGGGCGGTGAGGAGTTGATGGCAACAGCTTAGCCCCACTCATCCGATAAACACCATCCAGCGCACAGAGGCCAATGAGGACGCAAAGCCACACAGGTTATCGCGGCAGTCTCTACTAACCAGTGTAGGTGATCGCAGTCAGATTACGAAACGCGACTCTGTACGTGCCAAAAAATGCTGTGCTTGTCCCACAGGTGCATTGACCCAAGGTAAACTGTCCGTATGCTCGCGTAAAATTTGACGCAATTGTTATCCACGTTCACATGTTGGCTTAGATCCTCCACCCTGGAAACTTGCAAAACTGTGTACGCTCAACAATCCTGTCAAACTAAATTGTAATTTCGACCTAGGCACAAAAGTGTTATATAAATCTAGGAGTCCAACAGTACTGTTTTCAGCGGATTTTTCAGCGGTCTGTATGGTTGCCCTTCCTACTTGATGATGTCTCATTTTCGTAGAATGCAGACAGGCAGCGGATCGCTCGTAACGAATCACTGCCAAATCTGTGTGCCGTTTAACCTACAGCGAGTGACCGATCTCATGAAATGTTGGCTGAAATTCTGAAATGCGTTTTCGATTAAGAAGGATTACTTGGGCGTGGTTGTAATACTTACTATCTTGCGACATAATCTTATAACATTTCGGACTAGACTGAATGTTGGTTTTTGAATACACTGCTTCTCAATCTCCTGCAGAAACCGTACTCGGTAAAAAATGGCTACTCCATTAGCGTGAATTTTTCCATTGATTTTTGATAGTCTTGCAAATTCAAATATATCTTATAGAAACCATCAACCAAAATATGCTTTCTTTCAGTCAATTAATAGAGAATAACGTCTTCTTTATATTTTATACTCAAGGAAGGAGTATAAAAAGGTTTTTAAAACGTTTCCTAATTTTCGAATAATTTGGAACCTGATCATTCGATGCATTAGCACTCAGTGATTTCACTCTACAAGGTGCATGCGTTCCGCACAGCGAAAATCACATATTTTTATATGTCCTTAAAAGATATCATACAGATTCCACGAAATTTCGCAATGGATGCGGTCTATGTTGCACAATTCATGAGGGACTGCGGTAAACGGCCAGGTACGATGCTATGTGAACGGACAATGCGCGGTCTTAAAAAATATCATAGTGAGAAACATTTTTAAATCCTAATTATAATCCTTCCTTGAGTATAAAATATAAAGAAGACGTGATTCTCTATTAATTGACTGAAAGAAAGCATATTATGGTTTATGGTTTCTATAAGATATATTTGAATTTGCAAGACTATCAAAAATCAATGGAAGAAATGCTCGCTAATTGAGTAGCCATTTTTTACCGAGTGCGGTTTCTGCAGGAGATTAAGAAGCAGTGTATTCAAAAAACAACATTCAGTCAAGTCCAAAGTGTTATAAGATTATGTCGCAAGATAGTAAGTATTACAACCACGCCCAAGTAATCCTTCTTAATCGAAAAAATTTCAGAATTTCAGACAACATTTCATGTGATCGGTCACCCACTGTAGTTTAAGTAAAGAATTACATATGATTGGATTTCGGAGGGTCTGGGAGGAAGAATTATATATCTTTGTGGCACAAGGAAGACTAGGATGAAAGGACTTGAGCCGTTTTTGCGTGCGATGAATCCTGCGGACGCCTGATTGGAGTAGTCGTTGGGCCTGTACCAGCAACTTCTGTGTGCAGAGGGCTGTGCTAAAAATGCCTCCGCCACAGCCAGGATACCCTGTCGCAACAACTTTTTATGAAACTCGAACATATTACAGAATATCCAAAAGACCTTTCTAGAGTCTACGTAATGTCCTCTTTCTACCAGATGTTTTGAGACGGAAGTCAGAATTTCACTCATTGCTTCCTTTTACACTCATTAACAGGTGCTCCTGGAACTTCTTGTAAGATCGTCTGGTTATCGTACTGATTCATTGGGCTCCGTAGAAAAGGATGTATGCATAAAGGCACATGGAGGTGACCGAGGACTTGTAAACAGTATTGCACTTGAGTTACCGGAAATGCCAGTCCAAAACTGCGAAAAAATCTCCTACTCTGTAGGTGTTTTGGCACATTTTAACAATTTATACGCCCCGCTTGTGGACATCTAGCGACCTCGGTATTATGGGTTCTAACCTCATCGAGGCCGCTGAAGGTTTCACATTTTGTCCAGGTAAATCTCCCACTTAGCCATCTAAGACCGGTCTTTCCTCTTTCATTAAAAAAGTTGTTACCCGCAGTGTATGAATTCTAGTCTTCATCGAACGTCCTTTCATGTTCCTGGACAGAATACGTTCAGAATGCCCAATTTCTTGCAGAGGCTTTCTAAGTTCGTTCCTCGAATTTTCTGAGAGGTATACCCTTCTGATCCACCCGGTCAGTTTGTTAGGACTACCTTAAAGAAGGACTTAAAGACCCACGCGCAGTGTCAGCATACGGAAGGATTACTGTCTGAACCAAAATTGACGACAAAAGGGGGTATCTATCCGGCATCAGTGACAACTTTTAGTGATGATACAGTTTCCGGGAGTTTTTATTTACGAGTTTTGTAGCTTACCCGAGAGGTCAAAAAGAAAATTGCGACCACTAGTTTTGGAAGCCAATTGTCCCATTACAATCTTAGTTATCATTAAACACAAAGACGTTCGAAGAAAGTCGCCTATCCAATTGAAAAAGATTGCAGTCCAGCATGCAAATAGGCTCTACAGAGATGCCTAAATTT